ATGCATGAGCATGTAAACATACATGCATGCATGCATACATACATGCATGCGCACATATACACACATATACACACATACACACATGCACACATATATACACGCATACGTACGTACATACATACACATACATCTACACCTACACCTACACATACACCTACACATACACATACACATGCACGTACACGTACACATGCACATGCACATACACATACACAGACACGCATACATTGATATACATATGCACATACATATACATGCATGCATGCATGAAATACATGCATTCATATTTACATACAGACATACATAGGCACACATAGACAGAGTAGACATATGCTTGGGTGGCGCCGATGGCCGTCCACCATCACCGCCCGCCGCGCTCCAGCGGACGTGACTCTCGCGGAACCACCTCTGGCACGCAGGGAGCGGGTCCCGAGGGAAGCGGTCCTGGGCCCCGGGGCCTGCCCCCAAGATTGGAGGCCTGGCAGTGGGCACCGACACCAACTCAGGGGGGGGGGGGCTCCACCAGGGGAAGATCAGGCATGCCCTCAAAGCAAAAACAAACAATACCGATGAGACGCCCGCGCGCTGCTTCGGCGCAAGATGGAGCATCTTCAGCCCGCAAATTCCGCGACGTTGAGATACAAAGAGGCGTCCACAACAACCCTCCGCGACATTTGCCAAGACTTTGGTGTGGGTGGTAACCTTTCGGCATCCTGGGAGGCCCGAAAATGACCACCATCACCGAGGTCGGGATCATCTTCAAGGGCTCCTAAGTTCGCGCTTCGCGCTGCGCGAAGCGCGAAGCGCGAATAACTTCGCGCTCTCGCGCCGCCCCCCAAGGGGGAGAATAGGAGGACGAGGAGGAGGGGGGAGAAGGAACGAGGACCGCGAAGCTCGAAGCGCGAATAACTTCGCGCCCTCGTGGGAGCCCTTGGATCACCGAGGTCGGGATCATCTTCCCTCGGTGGCGGCACACCGCCGATGTGAGTGTCCATGTCAACCTGTAGGCCTCCGACAGCACCAGCTGTTCATCCTGAATCGCTTTCTGACGGTCCCAGGGCCTGGAGGGCCCAAATAGAGGCCCCTTAGATGGGGTCCGAGCAGATGGGGTCGGAGGATCTCGCCGCATCGCCGATACATTTGCGATGTATCGCCGATGCATTGGCGATGCGTCGGCCATGCACTGGCGACGTCGGCGATTCATCGGCGACGTCCAAGTGAAGAAAATCGGGCTCCGCATCGAATCGCATCGGCGATGCATCGGCGATGCGGCGCGATCCTCCGACCCCATCTACTCGGACTCTATCTAGGAGGCCTAGACCAAAGAAGCCAAGAGCGGCAAACAACTTCAGGACCCGTTTCCCTCAGAACCCGTTTCCTTCAGGGCGGCACCTCCAGGTGACGGTCACCCTGCCAGCAGCGCAGCCTCCCGCGAGCCCGTGCGCCCAGTCGAAGCGCGAGGAGCCAGTCTGCACGTGGGCCAGCCCGGGGCGCTCCCGCAGCGCGTGGCGCCGCGCTCCGCGGCGGAACTCCAGGCTGGCTCCGCTGCCGGCGGCGGAGAGCACGACGCCGTAGACCGGCTCCTCGAACAGCCCAATGCTGTCCTGTCGGGCGTCAAGCTTTCGAGCCAACGCTGAGCCCCTTGGCCCTCCGGGCCTCGTCGAGGGGTGCTCTGGAGGCCATCTGGGCCTCCCTGGAGATCTGAGCATCGTTTAACCGATCCCTATCCCTACGAGCGTGGCCTGGGCCCCACTGGCCGATTTACCCCCCCCACAGATGGGGATATGGGCGGTTCCATTCGGAGATGCGCATCCCCAACTGGGGTGGTGGGATTGTGGGGCTGAAGACACCCTGGCCCCGTGGGGGTCGGGAAAGGTGAAACGATACTGAAGATCGATGGTGGGGCTGAAGACACCCTGGCCCGGTGGGGGTCGGGATAGGCGAAGCGATGCTGACCATCTGGGGGCACCTTGAGCCAGGGACGCTTCTGGCAGCGCCCAGTCCTTGTGCCACTTCAGCTTCTGCCCTGCCCCGTACCGCCGGACGATGACGTGTCGGGGGCGCCCAGGAGGAGGCGGCGACGCCGAGGTCACAAATCGTGGCCCAGTCGTGTGCGCAGGAGGGGGGGGAGCGGCGGCCACACCGGAAGAAGACGAGGGGGCCATGGAATCCAGGCAGATATCATGGTCCCCGAAGTGATACCCCCCCACCCCCAGTCATCGGGGGAAGCAGAAGGTACCAAGACCGCTACAGCCCAGAACTCTCCCGGGGTGCGCTCTGACCAAAACCTCGAGGCGAACCCGGCGGTGGCGAGGAGGGCCGCCCCGGGAGGCCCGAGAGGCCGAGAACGAGGCAAGGCTGGCGGCATCGGCTCCTCTTGCTCCCCTCAGGAGTCATCGCCATCCCTGCCCAGACGCCGTGCGCTCGCTTGCTGGAGGCGCTGCTCGATACAGCTTCCCGTCGTGTGAGTTCATTTGTTGTCCCAGCTGGCGAGTCTCTCTTGCTGGCTGGGCCTTTGTCGTGCACGAAGGTGTGCTTGGTCCTGCTCTCTGGAATTGCGGAGGTAAAAAAAAATTATCGCCATCCCTCTTGGGCCCCCCCCCACGTTCAGCCACTCCCGCCGCAGCGGGTCGCGGCCCGCCGCGTCCCCGGGCGAGCCACACCCCGGCGGCAGCGCCGCCGTGGCGGCCGCCAGCAGCGCCTCGGTCCGCGGCAGCTGCTCGATGGGCGGGTCGCAGCGCCACCCAGCCGCGGCCTGCGCCGCCAGGAACGCCCAGTGCGCGTCCACCACGGCTCGAGGAGCAAGCAGCGGCGGGGGTGTTAGGGGGAGGGGGGGAGGCTTCCTAGAAGGGCGCTGCCTCTTGGAAGGCGCCGGCCTCACATCTGCAGAGAAGGCCCGCGGCTTCTAAGGAGCAGGGGTGCCTCTGAGTAGCCTTCCCCCCTCCCCCATACCCCCCTCTGCGCTTAGGTCGGGCATGTCCCCCTACAGGCGGATTTTGGACGAAAAATAAAAAGTAGCTTTGAAGGTATTCAAAAATGATCACCCCCCCCCCAAATAAAGTCCCCGGATCATTGTTTGACCATTTTTGAATATTCCTCCTGTACAGGGACACGCCCGACTCAACTCTAACTCTGCGCGTGGCCAGAGAACCGCAGACCTCCAGAGGTCCGCGCGGACTGCTCGGACCGGCGCTGCGGCGCTGCGCACCCCTGGGCGGCGCCTCCGGCGCGCGCCCCCCTGGCGCGCGCTCCGCGCCGGGGAGGGGGCCCAGCGCCGATTCGGCGGCGCGCGAGGGGGGGGAAGGGAGAAGGAGAAGGCCTTCTCGGAAGGCTCGGAAGCCCCCCAGCCTTCGGAGAAGCTCTCTAAGCCTTCCCCGACGAAAGAACAAACTCCTCCGAAAGCGCGAGGGCTTCTGAGAAGCCCCGCCGCCTTCTGAGAAGGCCTCCCCCTTCTCACTTCCCCCCTCGCTCGACGCCGACCGATGCAAGAAGTCCGCGCGGACCTCCGAAAGTTTGCGATCAGGAGGGGCTGCTTTGCGTGTCGCGGCGGCGGCCCCAAGAAACACGCTGTGCCCTGCGAGCTGATGGCGCGTCGGCCCGCTCTGCGGGGCGGGAGGCTGGGAAAGGCTCGGGATGTTGACGCTTGGGGACTGGGAAGTGGTCAGCGTGTCGAGCAGAAGCGCGGTGGGCCAGAACCGGCGGCGAGACGCGCGAAGCCAAAGATCCCGACCGTAGGCTTATGCTTGTCGGGCGCGTCCCCCCACAGGCGGATTTTGGAGGAAAAATAAAATACTCAAAAAAATGCTTTTAACAACCAAAAAAATCGCCCACAGACTATGTTTCGACTGTTTTTGACTACTCCTCCTGTAGAGGGGCACGCCCGACTTCCGCTTTTATGCCGCTCCTTGCTCGTCGGATGTCGCTGGCGGCCCTGGGCACGCCGCTGGCCGCCCGCCGCTCCGCGAAGGCGTCCCGCCGGCTGCGCGCAGGGAGCACAGAGTGCGGCTTGGACCGTTCTCACCAGTTTTTGACTACCTACCAGACCACCCCAACCCAACCCGAAGACC